AGTGTTGTAATAAGTTTATATGACTTTTTTTATATCGTAATAAGTTTTTTAGGACACTTTTAATATAAAGCGTCTCATTAGCAACTTTATAAGACACTATTTGAAAAACTATCCTATAAAAACAAGTGTCTTATAAAAAAAATGAGTTTATATGACACTTTCTAAAAAATGTCATATAAAGTTGCTAATGCGACCCCTTGTTCTAAAAATATCCTAAAAAACTTGTTAAGACGTCCAAAAGTGTCGTATAAACTTATTACAACACCTTTAGATATGACGCTTTATGTTTTTGGTCATATAAATTAAGTCTTATAAAGCGGTTTATTGGAACGCTTAGAGATTGGAGGTGTCCTATAAACTTAATTTTGTTGTAGTGTATGTTACTTATCTTATGATAATAAATTTTGTGCTGCTGTTGCAAAACTTTTTTGGATCCATCTATGTTATTATGGCTCCAGTAAATTGAAAATAAAGATGTCGTACCTTGAGTTATAGCAGAATAAGTAGATTCATCGGTTGCCAAAAGTCTGACCAAGAATGTTAGCAAGATAGAGGTCGTGTCATATCCTGCAATCATCACGACAATGATGTTGTCAATGATCTCCTCATCAGACATCATCGGTGAGTTATCGTCATCACGAATGCTAAGCAATGAGGTGATGAGATCTTTGTGAGGATCAACTCGTTTCTGTTCTTCAAGTTCCTCCTTTTTTTCTTGTATAAGGTCTATCAACAGTGGTACCAAATTCTTTCTTGCTGTAATTCCGCGATTGAATTGAGTGAAGGGCAAATTGATTGGAACTGCTAGCACCCCTTCCATCATATCTTGGAAAAACGGTAGCAGTTTCTCCCTTCTGGGTCCTCTTTCGATCCCAAACAGAAGTGAGCAAATTATGTCAAAGGTCAAGGTCTTCATCAAGGCTTGCACCTACATCGTTGTCAGAAATATATGATTTTTTTATTAACCCTTATTTATTTTTAATTTTTAATGATGATTATAAGTGTTTGTTATGGTCCTGTGATTCTCATTTGAATCTGAAGGATAAATAATGAATAATGAAAAGATAGCGTACCTGAACCTCATGTTTACCGACCCAATGTGTTTGAAGGTGGTATTGGATCTCTTCATCTACTTTCGCAACATACTGCTTCAACACTTCAAGCCTTAAAAACGAAACCAAGGCTGCTCTGACTCGTTTATGATCATCGTTGACCAACTCAAGTATATTTTTTGAACCCACGATCCTTCTGATTGATGGTGGTTGTGTGCTACTAAGTACATTCCCGTTGCAAGTGTATACAAACTTATTTGCAGCTGTACCATGTAAAACAACAGTCGGGTATCCAAAAAGACTGGTTTTCCAAATAGGACCGTGCTTGGTTATTCCTTTATGAAACCAGTCATCCACCTTGTCAGCTTTCATGGCGTTTAAAAGGCTAAGACTTTGCCCTATTAAAGGTAGCCCCAAAGAACCCGGTGGGATTTTATCTGAATATTTCCTTCCTCGGAACAGAAAGAAAATAGAAAGAAAAAACAATATCGTAAAAATAACGACTGATTCCATGACCAAACCACAATATAATTTGAGAGAGTTCTTGTATATATACACAAAGTCATTATTAGGTGGTTTGTTTTTATCTGATTGGCATCGATGAAAATGATTCTTCTATTATTAAAAATGAGTTATTATTTTATTAAATATTTAGTATGTTATATTTTATTAGAGCATCTTTAACAGGTATGTTATATTCTTTTAAAATTTTTTTAGAGATTTCTTCATTCTCTCTCTTTTTTTTCCTCCAATTTTAGCTGAGAGTTTAACATAATTACTAGAACAAACTTTTTCCAATAAATATTTAAATATTTAAAATAACATAATTATTAAAAGTAATTATATATATATATATATATATCAATTAAAGATTCTTTGCAATAATTTGATTATGACTTTTTTTATATAGGAGTCAATTAAATATTAGACAAATTATATGAAAAAGTAAGGTGTTTCAACTTGGTTCCTATTTTGGGTAATATATTTTTAAAACTTTCATTTTGTTACCTAAAATGTAAAGTTTTAAACATTAAAATACCCATGTAACCAGTGATGTGGTATCCAACTCAATATTATTTGCTATCCAACCCACTTTCATCCCACCACTTGCTGCATCAGTATGATAATCGGTTAATGTTTCAACTGGTTACTTGGGTACTTGAATGTTTAAAATTTTACATCTTAGATATCAAAATGAAAATTCTAAAAGTTCGTTACCTGAAATTGAAATCAAGATAAAGTACATTACTTTTTCATACAATTTGTTTCTAAATATCAACTATGTAATTAATAACGAGTATTACTTTATTTACTTATAAACTTACGAGTTTTTTTTTTTCAAATTTATTTATTTACAAACTATAAATTCAAAAAGTTTTAAAAATACCATTTAATGCCATAACGTGGGGCTTTGGTTTCATCGACATGTTATATATACTAGTCTTGATATCCGTGTTATTATGTATTTTATTACGTATTTATGTTATTTAATAATATAATTTAATCTAAAATATTTAATATTGGTCTCATTTTAAAGGTATTGATAAGATAATTATAATGATATAATTTGTTAAAAAAATATATTTTTTTAATGTGTTTTGATATCGATTATGATGAGGATCCCTGGACCCTAAATTTCATGAATAGGATCCTTATGGTTTCACTTTCGTTTATGAAGGCAGACCCTGAAACTAACTTTCGGTTAATTTACTGTCGTTCGTCGAGAGTGTTTTGTTCTTTTACTATTTTTTTTATTTTAAAAAAGTAGTGTTATATTGCTTATATTAAAAATAATTTTGAAGGGTTGGGTTTTGGCGAGAAGGAAAGTTATAATGAGAAATATAAGAAGAGATATCAACTATTGGATCAATCATGATTGAAGATCAACGCTAGTCAGATACACTGAGATGAACCAAATCAATTCCTGTGAGAAACACAATTTATGGGCGAGATGAGATTAAAAGCGATCAAGGGTCCAGATCTTTTCTTACGGTTCTCATCTTAACTCTTTTTTATACGATCTTCCATGTATGTGTATGTGTATTGTTGGTCTCAGATCTCTCAATATAACACGAAGATTTATGTTTAAGAACCCAAATCTATCGTATCAATAAAGAAAGTGAAGAACAACTTTAATGATATTCAATAAAGTATGAAGCTCTCAAGTAATTTCACTATAATGATGATAATGAAAAGAATTACTTAAATTACAAGACATATAAATGCTATTTATACTAGCAATCTAGTCTAACATATATATATATATATATATATATATATATATATATATATATATAGACTTGGGATCATGTGAGACCAGCCTGTTTTCGTGAGACCCGTGAGACTAGCGTTTTACACTTGAAACTTCACAGCAAAATGCTGTGAAGGTGACTTTTTAAAACCTTCACAGTGTTTTTGCTGTGAAGGTTAGACTTTTTTTAAACCTTAACAATGTTTTTGCTGTGAAAGTTACGTGTAAAAATGTGGTCTCACGGGTCTCACGAAAACATGATGGTCTCACATGAACCCAACCCTATATATATATATATATATATATATTTTTTTTTTTTTGATTCGTGTGAATATAAGAGTTGTGAATTTATGATTTAAAAAAACACTTTTGAACGTTTAAATGAATTGATTTAAGAAAATAGAACATGACATTTAATACCCTCATGTGAGGAAAATAACGGAGTAATCAATTCCTCATGTGATCTCTATAATTTTTAATAAATTAAAAATTAAATTGGATTATTTATTTTAGAGATTTCATCAGTAACTGTATTATAAAAATATTATATAATTTTATCATCTTAATACAGTTTAAAAAAACTTTATATGATAATAATTCAACGTCATTTGTGGGAAAGAATAAAAACTCATTTCTTTACCTGAATCTTAAATTTTAGATGATTTTAACGAATCTATCGAAGACGCTCAAACCTTTTTTTTTTCATTTAAAGGCGTGAAGATTTAATAACAATTCATATAATCAATACTATATTATAAAGTATTTAATAAAAACTCTTAAAACCATTTTTTATGCATGAAGTACTGTATATTGATGCATATTACTTAAAATTCAAGATTACAAGTATATTATGCATAAATACAACTTATTAAAGCTCCATGTTTGAATTTGTGTAGCTAAATGCGGATAAACATAATCAAATGAAGGATAAACATCTCATTTTAAAAAATAAAAAATCTAAAATATAATTAGGATAATTATCGAATTCTAACAAAATAATTAATTATTATTTTTATAAATAAGTTATATTATTAAACAAAATATGAATTATAATAAAAAATTAAATTAAAAAAAATACACAAAAATTAGAAATTTCAAATAGTTAATTTGATACTAATATCGATATATTTTTGCCAAATTTTTATGATATCTTCAAATTTATATTTTATTCAAAAATAAAAACATTATCGTTTTTTCAAAATTACATAAGACAATACTATAACATTGACTGAGATAAAGAATAAAATGAAATATTAAAATCAAGATGTATCTCGTTGCATTGCGCAAGTACCCTTCTACTATGAACACACGGTTACTTAAAGAACAATATCGTCATTTTATAATTTCTATCGGTTTTATCGTTAGAATAAAAGATTGATACAGGTAGTGATAAATGTTACTTGATTAATATTCTGAATTTCAAGCACTCATAATATTCGACTAAAGTACAATACGGTTTTTTTAATGAAAAAAAAACATACCATAAATGACATATGATCTAATCGGGTCTATAAAGTCCTTACATTAAGTGGGTGGAACTTTGGGGTTCGATTTTGCCAATTACATTAAGTGGGTGCGACGTCATGTATCACGATTTATGACCAAAGACGTTGAGGTAGATACGTGATTATGGGTAAATTGTATCTGTTTTGAACAAATACAATTTATCTTAACAACGTTATTGAGCCAAATCTTGCCTACGCCGTTGCTTCAGATGGCATCGATGTTGCTTTTATGGGCATGATCCGAACTGACAGTCCTTTGTCGAATTCCGGCATTGGGATTCTCTTGAAGGGTTCGTCCCTGTTAAGAAGAACCCATGTGAATTGTGTCACCAGACTATGCATCATCGCTAAAGTTTCCATTTTCGCAAGCTCGATACCAGGACACATCCTTGGCCCTCCTCCAAACGCCATTAAACTAAAAGGTGGTGGTGACGGTGCGTTTTTCTCAAAACGGGCTGGATTGAACATGGTCGGATTCTGAAAAATGCTACTGTCCATATGCGTCATTGACGAAGATAATAACACCTAAAAAATACGATACACAAATTCAATTCAAGTGAACGGTTTTTTCAATCGTATTCTCTATCATATTTCTTTGTTAATAGTTTATTTGACGTACTTGCCATCCTTTTGGAATTATGTACCCTCCATACTCGATATCTTGCACAGTTCGTCGAAAGGATAAAATCACAGGAGGGTTTATCCTCAGCATCTCGGATGCTACTCTCCATGTGTACTTCATCTTCGTAAGGTCTTCCCATGTCAAAGATTCCCCCACGGCTTTATTTTTGGCAATTTCTTCTTGTTCTACATTCTCAGTTACGTAATTAGTCGACCAAACCTTTTATTCATATTTTGGAACTTCATGTTGTAAATAACTGTTTCATATTTAATATTTAAAATTGTAATAATTTTATCATTAGTTTTTATTTTATTTATATTATGATAACTGTTTTGTTCTACCGTTGCGATTTTTCTGAATCCGTCTATGTTACAGCAAAATGGAGATAAAGATGTCTTACCTCGAGCTATAGCAGAATAAATAGCTTCATCGGTTGCCAAAAGTCTGACCAAGAACGTTACAAGGATAGACGTTGTGTCATATCCTGCAATCATCACGACAATGACGTTGTCGATGATCTCTTCATCAGACATCATTGGTAAGTTATCGTCGTCACGAATGCTGAGCAGTGAAGTGATGAGATCTTTATGAGGATCGACTCGTTTTTGTTCTTCAAGTGCCACCCTTTTTTCTTGTATAAGGTCCATTAGCATCGGTACCAATTTGTTTCTTGCCATAATTCCACGACGGAATTGAGTAAAGGGCAAATTGATCGGAATTGCTAGCACCCCTTCCATCATATCTTGGAAAAAGGGTAATAGTTTCTCTCTTTGGGGTCCTCTTTCGATCCCAAAGAGAAGCGAGCAAATTACGTTGAAGGTTAAGGTCTTGATCAGGGGTTGGACCTACGTCGTCGTTAGAAACAAAATAAAAAAGACCATGTAAGAACATTTCCAATTGATTTTCCGTGATTTCTCCAAAATGATGAAGCCAACGTCGTTTGTGTTCCACTCTAGCGAAATAAAATCAAGCATGGCCAATTTGTCGGCTTAATTATTAAGACATCTTTAAAATATTTCACTAATACGTTAAAAATCTTATTAAAATATATGTATTTGATTTAGGGCGGAGAAAATACTGCCTACCTGAACCTCATGTTTACCGACCCAATACGTTTGAAGGTGGTACTGGATTTCTTCATCTACTTTCGTAACATATTGCTTCAGCACTTCAAGCCTTAAAAACGAAACCAACGCTGCTCTGACTCGTTTATGATCATTGTTGAGCAGCTCAAATATATTTTTCGGACCCAGGATCCTGCGGATTGATGGTGGTTGTGTGTTACTGAGTACACTCCCGTCGCTGGTGTATACAAACTTATTTGCAGCTGTACCATGTAAAACAACAGTTGGGTATCCAAAAAGACCAGTTTTCCAAATGGGTCCGTGCTTGGTTATTCCTTTCTGAAACCACTCCTCCACCTTATCGGCTTTCAAAGCCTTTAAAAGGTCGAGACTTTGCCCTATTAAAGGCAGACCCAAAGAACCAGGAGGGATTTTCTTTGAATACTTCTTTCCTCGAAAAAGAAAGAAAACTGAAAGAAACAAGAACGATAACGTAAAAATAACGACTGATTCCATTACTTGAAACACAATGTAAAATATGTGAGAGTTCTTATATATATATATATATATATATATATATATATATATATATATGTTTGAAGGTGGTTTGTCTTTTTATGT